ACTATTTCATTCTAATATTTCCTTGTTTGTTCATTTAGTTTGTTTTTCATACATTGAACCTTACACTTTTCCATTTCATTTTGTTGTAGTCTTTCATCCTCATCATTTAAGTCTTCATCCTCACCCTCTTCGAAATAACTTATTGGTGAAATTAGAATCATCGCCCGAATTAGCATCACTAGTTTGGAACAAAAGAATCCAACTTGTGACTTCTTTAATCCGAACTAGGATCTTCTTCCCCTCCATATCGACCTTAATTGTATCCATTATGATTGATATAGTAGTCAATTTGAAGCAAACACATGCATTATACTAATTATCTACATCCTCTTTATCAACATACACTATCGAACCCCATCTCCCAACCATTTTTTGAATGATTTTGAACTCCATGTAAGTAAATGAATCCATAATATATTTATCCGTACATAAGTAAAGGAATCCACAATATATCTAGTCGCTCCCTTAGCACAAAACACCTTCACCATGGTAATATCTTCGTAAACCACAGCCTCAATCCTTCATGGTTTTAAAACTTATCCTTAACTACTTCATATGTAAATGATAGAAGTATCTACAACCCACCAACATACTTCATATTCACTTTCAGAAACCCTCAACTCCGAAAAATAACTCAAAGGTTTGGAATAACATGTAAGTTCTTAAGCTTTGCAAATAAAAATTTTGACCCACCAACATGTTGAAGTGTCAATTAGGTAGACATTAAGACAATGGTATATCCTCTTGAAGTTCCCTTACTATCATCAATACCCATGCATGGGGGTCCTTGATTAGGATTACAACTTGAAAGACTGAAACCATACTAGTATAGGTTCGTCCCAACCCTTATCACTTCCATGCACTCCCACTTGAATATTAGATTTTTTATGATGAACCCTTTTTGACCTACCTCATTGTTCCAAATAAAACAAGTCTTACTAGTGAACATGTGAAATTTGTTAATCCACATATCACATAACATTGCCACCAATTTATCCACATCCTTCACTCTAACAAACCTAATAAAGCCAAAACATTTGCTTATATTTGAATGGCATAGTGAATATAAGCATCAATTATTGTTCCATTCTTCTAGCATGTGTCTCAAATATTGGGATCCAAAATAGGTAGTAAAATTCGTTACATACATAAAACGTATCCCCCAAGCCTATCTTTTTATGTTCACCTGATTAAATTGAAATCGTTTCTTGTTATTAACCTCTTCCCATCTGCCTTGATTCATGTTAAAACCCGATGGTTATGACTCCTTAGTCATTTGATCCTGCTCAATAGTTGTCATCAAGCCCAATGTTTAATTTAAAAAAACGATGTTCTAAAATAATTTGTATCCTACTAAGTATTATTTTTTAGTTTGTTTTTAAAACACATTTATATTTGTAATTGTAAAAAGTTATATTTTTTTTATTAAATTTAGACAAAACTGAAAAAATGATCATTGTGGTTTGCATTTTTTTCGAGTTTTGATTCAAACCTTGAAAAATTTAGATTCATGGTCCTTTTACGCATCTTTCCTTTTGGATTTGGCCCCTCTTCATACTAAAAAGATTAATTTTTTCATCTTGATATTTTTTAGAATTTATTATATTTAAATTAATTTTTTATCAAATATAAATGTGAGTCCCATACACACACATCCTCTCTCTCTCTCTCTCCACTTGCCAATTTCTACTCTCTCTCTCTCTCTCATTTTTTTCATTCTTGATCTCCATCCCGTCACTTGCTTAAAAGGAAAGAAAAATGCAGCCCTCTTCCCTTCGTACCGGGAAAAATCCAGTCATTGAACCGCTCTCACCATTTCCTACAGAACGACACCATAAAACCTCATCGTTTTCTTCCCTCTCACCAATGAAGACCATATCCAGTAAAGATTGAAAAAATGAAGATGTTGTGATGGTTGAGGTTGCATAAGGCCTTCTGATTAATCATAAAACAAGAAAATAATATAAATTGAATCCAATCGATGATGGTGGCTTGATTCATGATCGCCTTCTTCGTCTTCAACATAAAAACCCATAAAATTGATTTTCAAATTCCCTTCTTTTTGAATGGTTTCATATGGATCTACTTTATTTCAAATATATGAATCTCACTGATCAATCATATGTTCATTTTAGTTTCAGGTCAAGCGCTACAAAAAAAACATGTAACACATACATACACACCGAAAGAGAGATGGATCTAAGGGCAGAAACTAGTTGAAATTTTGACTTGAGATGGCAGAAGTGCTTGCTGGTGGCATGATTTATGAAGAAATTAAGGCAGGTATGGTGGGTTCAAAGTGATGTTGAACATGGGCTATTATGGTGGCGTTCTAATGATGGACAAACTTCGATCACCTTACTCAGATGGCGGCGAAGGTTAAGATCAAGGGGACGATGTTTGGGGTGTAGGTTCTGAATCTCATTTGTTAGGTATGTTTATCGAATGGAAGCGCCAGTGATCTTTAATGGAGATAGAGAGAGATAAAGATAGAGAGAGAGAGAGAAAGAGAGATGTGAGCCTTTTTTCTAAATTAAATAATAATAATAACTTAAAAAATGAAATAAAAGTTGAAGATAAATATATGAAGGGTATTACAGTCATTTTACTTTTTAGATGGACCAAATACACAACGAAACTAACTGAAATGATTATTTTTATAAATTTTGTGAGGTTTGGACTTATTTAAAAAAATACAAACCACATGGATGATTTTTACCGTTTTATCGTTAATCTATCTTTGTTAAAGGCTTAAGCCCTGATTGGTTTACCGAATTCGTTGACCAAGACCTCCAACATACTACAAAAAAAGTAGGGAATATGACTTATTAAGGTAATTAACTTTTCGTATTGTTCACATCTGGCTAACTATTTTTTTTGTACACATCTAGGTAACGAACTTTTTGGAAGTGTTCACATATGACCATTATGACCTGCTGTAACAGGTTACATCCGGTCATAATGGTCATATGTGAACACTTTCAGCAACTTCATTATCTAGATGTATACAAAAAAATAGTTACCCAAATATGAACAAAACGAAAAGTAAGAGTAAATTACACGAATGGCCTCTGTGATTTGGGGGAATTTGTCGTTTGGTCCATAACTTATTTTTTTAACTCGGATGGTCCCTACTGTTTAGTTTTGTTGCACGTTTGGTCCCTGTTTTACCTAAAAGGACTATTGTGCCCTTATTAATTTATTTTTTAATTAATTTTCTTATTTATGTATTTATTTTTTATATATTTGAAAAAAAATAATAGACCCCACATATCTGTATCTCCTCACCCTAAACCTGAAACCACATTTGAGAAATTTAATATGGGTCCCATCGGTCACCATCCCATATCTCATCCTCCCCAACTTTTATTTCCTTTCCATCTTTAGTGACATCGACGTCTTCACCATCTCTTCTTTTTTCGATCCTTCAACTCTGGCGAACCAACGCCACAAAAGATGGAAAGGAAATAGAAGTTGTAATGTATTGGGTTGTGGTGGTGGAAAATTCGATGAAGAGACAATGGGTTGTGGTGTTGGTTCGCCGAAGAAGGGATGATGAAGACGTTGATGTCACTAAAGATAGAAAGGAAATAGAAGTTGGGGAGGATGAGAGTTGGGATGGTGACCAGTGGGACCCGGATTAAATTTCTCAAATGTGGTTTCAGGTTTAGGGTGATGAGATATAAATATGTGGGGTCTATTAATTTTTTTAAATATATTAAAAATAAATACATAAATAAGAAAATTAATTAAAAAATAAATTAATAAGGGCACAATAGTTTTTTTAGATAAGACAAAGACCAAACGCGCAACAAAAATAAACAGTAGACATCATCCGAGTTAAAAAAAATAAGCTAGAGACCAAATGCACAAATTCCCCCAAACCACAGGGACCATTCGTGTAATTTACTCTTACTTTTCATTTTGTTCATATTTTAGTAACTATTTTTTTGTAGTAACGAACTTTTTGAAAGTGTTCATATATGACAATTATGACCGGATGTAACCTGCTACAGCAGGTAATAATGGTCATATGTAAACATTTCAAAAAAGTTCGTTATCTAGATGTGTAAAAAAAATAATTATCCAGATGTGAACAAACCGAAATGTTAATTACCTTAATAAATATATATTCCCAAAGTAAAGTACTTTTAAATATCATGCATTTAGTGATTTTTAATTGTATGACTTTGAGATTTGTTTTATTTTTGTACTTTGGTGGGATACACTATTAAACTAGTTTTATAGTTCAATGGGTTTTATTTTTGTACTTTGATGGGATCCACCGTTGAACTAGTTTTATAAACGAAAATATAAGTTTTAGAAAAGCATAATTTTACAAAAATCAGTAATTTTTAAATTTTATTTATTTATAATTATTCAAATTAAACATAGCTTGTAAGTTGTTAAAGCATCACACTCCATAAACTTTAATGAATTGTCAAATCATCATTTTATATTTCATAGAACTTTTATAAAATTTTTTCTCGTATTGATCGGTTCATTTGTTATTGAACTCTAAATCCATTAGAGATAAATATACATCTTACAATAATAGACAATTAGGTTTACCATCCCATTTCTACTGTAGATACTCTTAGATTAGGTTCATATTTTTTTCTCGAATCCAGATCCGGATTAAATCTGAACCGGTTGGATCCATAAATCTGAATCCAAATCAGATCCAAAAAATATGTAACTCTATCCATGAGGGAGAAAGGATAAGATGAGGTTTTTTTTTTCTTTTAGACAATAATTATAAAATACATTATTTTAAACAAAAGTTGCAAAAAAAAATCCGTGTCAACAAAACAAATTGGTGTTATAAGTTTACAAAATAATAAAATAAACAACTTAAACTAGTTTAGATTATCTTAAACTTAACTTGGAAAGAATATACCATTTCTGATCTCCAAGAATTGGTATCATAAACAATCATGATATTTAGGATCTAGATTAATCCAGATATGAGTCATTTAGTTGTACAATACAAATCCTCAATGCATATGAATCAGTTTATTAACCCCTATATATATCCTCCTCCATCCTATCTGTCCTTCCTCCCCCTCCACTCCTCGATTCACGGAGCAACAACCAACCACCGCCCACCACCACCATACGCCACCGGATTCAGGATGAATCAACCAGCAAGAAGATACATAATCACAGCTTCAGAAGCTGAATCAATGGCGAGATCTAAAGGTCTCACTGTCCCTCAACTCCTCCCATCGCTCGTTAAATCTGCTCAAGATCTCGCTCGTACACCCATTTCGAAATTCGACGTTGGGGTCGTCGGATTAAGCTCCGATGGTCGGATATTCTTCGGTGGCAACATCGAGTTCCCTGGTCTTCCCCTCCACCATTCCATCCACGCTGAACAGTTCCTTATCACCAATCTCGCTGCACACGGCGGCGGTCCTAAACTACTGAACATAGCCGTGTCCGCCGCTCCTTGTGGTCATTGCCGGCAGTTCCTCCAAGAACTCCGGGGAGTTTCCAAAACCCAGATCATAGTCACAGATCAACCTCTAGAAAACCCCGATTACAAACCGATTTCATCGATCTTACCTGACCCGTTTGGCCCTTTTGATTTATTAGATCAAGAAACGCCTCTAATTCTTGAGAAACATAGCAACAAGTTGTCTCTCAAAGATGACTCCTCGATTACCCAAAACGGAAAGACACCGAATTTATCAAATGGGTATCACGAATTGATTGAAAAGAACGAGGAAACTCTTATAACAGAGGCTCTGGAGGCGGCGCGTGGTTCACACGCGCCCTACAGTGGATGTCCGTCGGGTGTGGCATTGATGGATTGTGAAGGGAAAGTGTACAAGGGATCCTACATGGAGTCTGCGGCGTATAACCCGAGTATGATGCCAGTGCAGGCGGCGCTGGTGGCGTACATGGTTGCCGGCGGTGGTGGGTATGAAAGGATAGTGGCGGCGGTACTGGTGGAGAAGGAGGAAGTGCTGGTGAAACAAGAGGATACGGCTAGGTTGATGTTGAAATATATCTCACCAAAATGCGAGTTTAGAGTTCTTCATTGTATTTGATTTGATCCAATCAATTGTACTGAAATTTGTGACCCAAAATTATTGGAGAGAAATAATTGATGTATCTTTATAATTTAAAATGTGTATTTCTAATTTCATTTTAAATTATTAATATATATTATGCTAAATTAATATATGGTTTTTGTACCATTTCTATTTCATTTTTTTTTAAACTGGGAGCATCTTTGTTCTTTATTTAATTTTTTTCCGTTGTCCTTTAGTTCTATTTTTATTATAGAAGGGGTGTTCTTTAAAAATGTTTATTGATTATTGACTTATAACTTGTTAATTTATTGACTTGTAAGCTGTAACCTAATAAGTTAAAAAAAGTAACTTATGAAAAAAATGACTTATTAGCGGTTTTCCAACAAAATAAGTTATTTTTATTCAAACATTTTTTTTAAACTTACAGCGGTGTGAAACCGCTAATAAGTTAATAAATTGTTTTAATAAACTTAGCCAAACACCCCCTGATAACTTAGTCTTTACTTTATATATTTAACTAGACGAATTTTCACGCGTTGTGCAACAAAGATTAAAAATATATTGTTAAAATATTAAAAAATATATGTTTAAAATGGTTATGTTATTGACATTAACTTTAAGATAATATTTTTACACTAAATTATATATATATATATATATATATATATATATATATATATATATATATATATATATATAATCTCAATTATTTTGAACAATAATATTCATTGACATCAACACGCATTCCTCATTAATATAATTAAATATAATTATGTATTTAGTATTATTTTTAACAATTATTAATATTGATTACTTATGCGATCATTTTCTAATTTCAATAATGATGTTCATTTAAAATACAATTTATTTATAGCTAAATGTAATTTATAATTTGATGTTATTATCATTTAAAGTTGTTATTCATTAATTTTAAACCACTTATTATTAATAATAAGTTAAAGAAGACTTTTAAGAAACACTTAATATTATTATTAAAATGTGAAACATACACTAAATAATAAAGTGATAAGATAAACAATTTGCATTTCAAAAGAGACTTGCATGGATAATATGACATATCCATATAATTTGATTTTATTATTTATAATTATTGCTTATTAATTTTAAAACCACTTGTTATTATTAATAAGCGAAAGAAACTTTTAAAAAACACTTATTATTATAATTAAAATGTTAAACATATACTAAAATATAAAGTGATAAGATTGACAATTTGCATTTTAAAAAAGGCTTACATGGATAATATGAATAATATGACATATCTATGATTTTTAATTAATTATTGTTTTGAAGCAACATGAACATACAAACATGTATACAATAGTTAATTAAATATTATATATATGACCTTCCATAACATATGATCGATAACATGAATCTAATCTAATTTACATTAAAATTTCAACCACAACATACAATTATATTCTTAAAAGAATACTTAAATCAAGAAAATATAAAAAAGAATTAGTATATAACAAACTTACAAATTAAAAACTTCAACATAATAACATGGCTCGAAAAATTGTTCAAAGCCCTCAAACCAACACAAAAAACTTTAAACTTGCTTTCTTTGTGACTTTTGTATGTGATTTGTATTTGTGTGTCTACTAAAAAATATTGACATTTTTATAGTAGAGTATCCATTAATTTTTTATTAAATATATTATATAAGTTATAAAACCTTTTGAATTGTTAATCATTATTAAGAGACTTTTGAGTGGTATTCATTAAAATAAGAGGTTTCAAATGCATGAGGTGTTTGCAAATTTTTATGGGGGTTTCAAATGCATGAGGTTCAAGGGAAAATGCTAGCTTTATAAGTATGTATGATAAGATAAGATGTTATATTATTACTAGGATAGAAGAACTTCATTTATCTCATCCATCAAACCCAAATGCCATGTAAAAATCACATTAGCATTTTTTTTAATTCTTATTCACTTCAAACTCTTCGACCCCTAAACACCGGTATATATATCATTCTCAATCATCACACTTTGATAAGATAATGACTTGAAAGGGTAACGTACTTTAGATTTTGGTCACATTTGATCATTAAATTATTTTCCGTGCTTTATTAACCCTTTAACTTGTTGAAATGTGTACATTATACCGGTATGAGCGGCAATAGTGGGTTTTACTGGTTTCCGACGTTGTTTCCGGCCAAACATGAGTTTTTCGGTCATCTTCTTCGGCCAAACTTGATTCCCACCTAAAACCATCACCAACACCTCCCAAATCAGCCACTAATCACCATCTTTACCTCTACCATTCCCATCTAAAACCACCACCAACCACCTCCAATTACCCACCACAACCCACTAAAACCACCAGACGACCTCACCGGAGAAATCCCAGACGAGATCGGAAACTGCAAAAACCTCTTGTTTTCTCTGTGAACCCCGTCAAACCCACACACACCCTTCTCCATTTGTCATCCATCAAACTTGCAACTCAAATGAGGGAAAGAAAAAGTCTGCAATCGATTTTGAGAGAAGAAGAAGGAACCAACGTCCTCGTAGAGAAATCCCAAACGAGATCAGAAACTGCAAAAAACCTCACGGTAAGCTCCCGTCGGATCTTGGCAACTTGTAACACTCGAAAATTTGGTATGTTTCCTTTAGCCCCTTAATGCAAAGATCATCACATTATAGTCCCTAAGCGTACTAGCTCGTTCCAGATCGCGGGATTCATCAACGTACGTAGGGCGTACGTGGAGTACGCATGGCGTACGTGGTGCAGGGGCAAACCCTAAATTTTAGGGTTTGCACCTTATTTAAACAACTTATCTCACTCTTGGACACTCTATTGATCAACCTCCATCACCTTATGTACTAATATCAAAACCTTAAGTGTGTTTGGTGAGATTTGAGCTTGAAAGTAAGGTTGTTGGTGTTTTGTGGTGAAGAAGAAGAAGAGGAACACTTGGAGGTTGCTTGGGAGTAGCTTGAGCTTGTAGATCCAGAGTCATCTTCACCTTAGCAAGCCATTTGAGGTAAAAAGCTCTCATCTTGATGGTCCTTTATGCTAGATCAATTTTATGGTGTTATTTATGCATCTTTGAGTCTTTTTAGTTAAAGTTGAGCTTTTGATCTACTCCAGAAGCCATGGATGTTAGATCTTAACTCCATTGAGGTCCCTTGTCTATAAAAATGCAATCTTTATGTAAGATATTGGTCCATGCAAGTGTTAAGAGTCTTATTAAGCTTCTTTTTGAGTATTGGCCCCCATTAAGCCATGCATGGGTGTAAAGTTGCCAACTATACGTATTAAGTCGCCATTTAGAACTAGATGTGAGAGTGTAGCATGTTGGCTTATTTAAGTGCTTAATGGGTTAGGTTGGGAATCAGGGGAGTACGTTGGGTGTACCCAGCTGGTACGCTGCGCATATTGGCCCCGAAAGGAGTACGCTAAGAGTACGAGCTGAGTACGCCCTGTGTACTCAGCAGGATGACTTTTGGGTTGACTTTCGCGGATTTGGGCCATATATTGGGCTTTTAGGGTTTGGGCTTTGTTGGACTATTAGGCTTCTGACTTTGGGCCATGGATGGACTATGGACTTTCTTGGGATTAGGTCCATGATGATTTTCGAGCCCAACTTGGATGTTCGGCCTTATTGGGCCTTGTGATGTCATTTAGGAATTTGAGCCTTTTGAGAAAACGGGTTGGGCTTTGGTTTTGGGTCAAGTAAGAAAAAGGGTAAAATGGTCTTTTATGTGACAACCCAATATTTTGAATCAATGTAATAACCTAAAAATTCAAGAATAGTAATCTCTTTTCATATAATGAAATTAGCGTCAAAAATAAAATGTTCAAAAGTCTCTATTGGGTTGCATAGAATGATAAATATCGTATTAAGGTTTCCAAAAATATAAAGAACACTAAAATCCGAGTTATAACGAAGAAGTTATGACCAATTTAAGATCCGTAGCAAATCCGGTAAAACACTGTTAACCATAAAACGAGAAATTTCAATAAAATACTTTTCAACCTTAGGTGTCTAAATAAAAGTTGTAGATATCCCAAAATCGTAAACATACATAAAAAGAACGCCCAAATCTGACTTCATATGAGGAAGTTATGATTTTTCGAAGTTTCGGACATAACAGTAGACAGCTAAAAACTCGAATTAGAGATCGAGCGACTTTTTGCCATCATGACCTAAACGAGAATCGAAGATTTCAACAATAGTAGCGCAACGGTAAAAAGTCTGACGAAAACGAACGTCGGATGAAGGAGTTATGGATTTATGACGGAGTTTTCGTGTCCCGGCCTGTTAAAAATAATTAACTAAAAATAAATTCAAAATTTGCCGACAAAACCTAAACGATAGTTGTAGAGCATATTCTCACCTACGCGTGCATATATAGAACGTCGAAAACGGAGCTCGTACGCAGAAGTTACGGATTTTACAAGTTCGGGACACAAAATCTGAAGCTGTCAGGCTGGCCACGACGTGGCACAGATGGCCACGACGTGGGATCATGAATGATGGGTTTTCAGGCTTGGCAGCAGACGTCTCGGCCATGGAAGAGGATAGGATCGACTCCACGACGTGGGTAACCCTTTTGCCACGACGTGGGACCCAAAAATTGGGCTATAAATAGAGCTCAAAGGGTTCCGGGTTTCATTGCTCAATTCTCTTCTTTCTCATGCCGAAGCTCTGTGTTTAAACCCTCGAAGCCATCCCAAAAGCCCCGGTCTTCACATCCAAGTTTCCGAAGGAAGGTTTTACATTCCCGAGAATCCCGAGAAATCAACTTTATCAAGTCGAAGTTCTGCTCAGTTTTTGTCTCACCTTCTTCAATCTATCATGTGAGTTCATACCCCTTAAATCTATCTTTCGAATGATTTTAATGCTTTTATGGGGGGGGGGATACAAGTAGAAAACATATTAGTTATATAATCAATCACATGTGATTTATAATTGTGTTTCAAGCAAATGATTTCATATACTCTATAACTGTGTTTCGATCAAAGGATTTCTTTTACTT